TGTCACTCAAGTGAGACCAGAACAGGCGGTGTTGGTAGCTCCTTGTGCCCTAGGCCTGGCTGACCTCAAGCTTGAAGTCCCAGCCTTCTCCACTATTTATAGCCCCAGAGGACCGGGGAAGGGGAACGTGGAGGCCACGGGAAAAGGAAAGAACATGGACTTTGAACTTTGAATCAAAGACTTAGTTTTGAAGCTTTGCTCTACTCCTAACTGACCACATTGCCTTAAGTTACCTTTCCTCACTGAGCCTCACTTTTCCTCATCTGTCAGATGGGATGAAACTGTTTAACTCAGAGTCAATTTGAGAAGTAAATGATGTGTGTAGAATTGACTAGCCAGCTCCCTTCTGACAGTATACATGGCTTCTCATGTACTGCCTTCCCCCAGTGTTGTAGGCCCTGAGACTCCTGGCAGATGTCAGCCACAGAGGTTCTGTTCAGATCTGTTTGAGCAGAGGGGACAGGATCAACCGTTCAAGCTTCAGATATGAAGCACCAGGTCAAAATTACACATGCAAGTGTATGTGTGTGTTTATCTCTCCTCATCTTTAAACAGTTCCTGGTCCCAGAAGCCATTTAGATGTTCTTTGCAAACTGTGCACTTGTGTGTCTTATTTATAATCAGATGGAAGCTGTGAATAAAGCACAGATGGGACATTCCGCTCAGCTTCCAGCTGTAGGTACAGCAGATGGATGTTATCAAGTTAGAATTTTCTTGTCGTAACATTTTTCTTTATTGCTTTTTACTAATCGTCAACATCCTTTTCACAATATGGAAATGTGTGGGCTTTCTACTCCCTAAAAATTCTTTCACTGATGCATTATTCCTTTGCAAAACAGCATTTAATTGAGTCCATTTTGAAATGCCTTTGATAACTTTATATCCTTCAACTCCAAACAAGGTTCAAAGACTTCCCCCACCGGACTGGCCAGTCGGGAAGCAGCCACCTCCACGTCCAGCCATGAGAGGGCAGTGTTCACATTTGCTCTGTGGTCTTGCTGTATGTATGCTTATGCCAGTCAGTCCATTTGAAAGGCTTTTTTGTGTCTTGGGAGCTTTTTTTTAGGTAACAGCAATAAAAAGTGCACATGCTTGATTATACGTTGTTTCTGGAAGATATTCCATAAGGCAAATGTGTGTTCTGCATTTTTATTCTGTCCTTTTCATTGACATTGAATTGGAATGGACTCCTGGCTGACCCTCCAGCAGGTTTTCTTGAGGCTGTAAATTGCATGGGAGGAAATGACCCATTTTCTCCTGTGCCGCTGCTGGTGGGCTTGAACCAACAGATTTGAGTTTTGGATTAGCAACCCTGCTCCCTCAGACTCTGCCACCAGAGAACTCAAAAGTCCAGCACAGCTGTCAGGAGGTTCATGAAATTTTATTGTATTTCATTCTTGTGTCCTCTTTTCCCTGTCTGAAAGGCAGGGTCATCTTCGTCTACAGCTCAAATTATGTCAGAGGACGATTGTCAGTGGTACCAAAGTTGCATCTCCAGTGCAGACTGAAGTGAGTCCCAGGTTACGATCTTCTATCTTGGGGTGTCTCTGAGGCTCCACAACGTGTTGGTCTGCTCCCTCCCAACAGAGCCTGACCCTTCTGTAAGCTGCCTTGTCTTCCCTGACACACCTCCAGCCTGCCATACGGCCAGGTCATCCCTCACGCCTTCCACTCCCCTCTGCCAGTCCCGCAGGTCCACACTTCACCACCAGACCTACCTTCTCACCTAAAAACCTTTCAACTTCAACAGTTTCTCTCCTGCCCCCATTCCCAAGCCATCATCATTATTTTTGGATGATGGTGGTAATTTCCTGCCTGATCTTTCCAACTTCCTTTTCTTTCCCTTCACAGCAGTTAAAATGCAAGCAATTGAAATGTCCTCTCTTGCTCTTGACTCCTTGTGCCTCGCCTCATACCTCACTCTTCTTCCCCACATTAACCTCACACTCACCTTTTCACTCTGCAGCCCCTGCCTGGGCAGTATTCTCTAGGGAACATACTCTCCCCTTCACCTACCAGAACCAGTTGTCAGTTTTGAATCATGGTGACCCATGTGTTGTCAGCATAGAAGTGCGCTCTTAGGGTTTCCAGTGGCTGAGTTTCGGGGCATACATTGGCATGTCTTTCCTCTGGAATACCTCCGGGTACACTTGAACCACCATCCTTTAAGTGAACGGTTGATCAGGTTAACTGTTAGAGACTTAACAGTTCCCCTACTCACCATCTGCAGGGCTCCTCCCTGCCTGAGGGAGACTCTTTTCCTCTTGACCCTTGGCTGCAGTAACAGTTTTGCAGTTAATTCACTAGGTGCTTGTCTGCCCTCCCTGTCCTGTAAGGCACTCAGACATGGCATCGCTCCTAGGCCTAGCCCAGCACCCACCTGGCACATAACACTCAGTAACAGAATGTTTTATTGATGGTAAGTCATTTTGGAATAATTACCTTCATTTATGCTTTAAGATGTTTTATCTCATTGAAATAAAATAATTCTGTTATTTGTGTATGTTTGCTGCTGAGTTGAGAAAATGTTCAACTCTTTCATGTAATATGTACTTCACTATTAAAATAGATAACAAAATGTGTATGCCCCAAATTTCCACTTGCTGCCACTGACTTTTTGCCAGAAATAAACTTTGTGGCAGCAATTTTGGTGTCACAGGCAGTCACTGAATCAGTCTGCTGAGAAACTGTGGTTGGCGGTACAGAAGAACCAGCAGCTGGAGCCTTGACTCTGGCTTCATTCAAGAAACCTTTGGAAGACTTCACTGACATTAGATATCCCGCACTCAGCTTGTTCTTGGCAACTAGGATAACTGTATCAGAAAAAAATAAGAAATGCTTCACAAATTTGTGTGTCATCCTTACGCAGGGGCCATGCTCATCTGTATTGTTCCAATTTTGGTGTATGTGCTGCTGATGAGAGCACTCTCAGTAAGTTCTTTTTGGTGACTTTAGATGAAAGGAAAAGCAAAGGTGTGAGATTGAAGGAGTAGTTTAGACATTACAGCGGAGGGGGGGAAAATCACTGAACATTTTAAGACAAAATGACCTAGTCAGCAGAGCCCTGAGTGTTAAAAAGCCTTGTGGCTGCGAGTGATCTCCACGAAGGTGGCAGGAGGGTTCCCACAGAGATCCCCTGTGGACGGCAGCCCACAACCCTCGGGTCTACTTTTTTTTTTTAATACTAGTTTATTTACACAATTTGAATGCATTGTTTCCGAGAACAGATCCTTTTCAATTGCCCTCACCCTCCCACTCATCAAATTGTACAACTCCATTAATTAATCACCTCTCCCCCTGCACATCCTCATCCCTCTGCTTCCACCCTCCCTCTCCCCCGCTTGGATCCTTATACTCATTCTACAATAATGGTTTTATATAACATTTGTCCTTGTGGGACTGAGTTCACCCAGCATAATGCTCTCCAGTCCCTCTCAAGTTAGGTAATAATTTACAACATCATTGCTCCTGTGTGCTGCGTAGTATTCAATTGTGTGAGTGTACCATAATTTCTCAATCCATTTGTTTGTGGTTGGATATTTGGGCTGTTACCATGTTCTTGTGATGGTGAATAATACTGCTGTGAACATTGGTGTACAAATCTCCATACATTTTGACAAGTCATGAAATGCTTGTTTGATTTCCCCCTTAATTCCCTTCATGCACATCTTGAAATCTTATGTACTTACTGTCAAGTCAGAAGTGACTCATAGCTGACCCTCCAGCGGGTTTTCAGAGGCAGTAAATTTCTCTGAGGAGATTACCCATCTTTTTCCCCTAGGGTAGTTGGTGGTTTTGAACCATGTGCCTTCAGGTTCAGTGCACCTCTTTACCTCTGAATTACCAGATGTTGTAGTTAGGTGCCATTGAGTCAGTCTCACTCATGGTGACCCCCGTAGATGAGAATAAAACCATTGTCTGGTTCTGTGCTGTTTCCATCATGGTCGTGTTCAAGTTCGTTATTTGGGTTACTATATATTTGTTGTTACTTGTGCCATCGAGTCAGAACTGACCCATAGCTGACCTTCCAGCAGGTTTTCAGAGCCAGTTACCATGGGAGAAGATTGCCCATCTTCC